AAAAACCCTGTCTTAAAAAAAAAAAAAAAAAAAAAACCAACAAACTTTCCCAACTGCAAATAAGTGGGAATTCCACTTTAATTCTATCAGACAAAGTTGTTCTTTTTTTTTTTTTTTTAAAGAATCAGATTAAGATATTTCATGTCAGAGAAAAGTGTTCATAAGAATGGAAGACAGCATTACAAAACACATTACATAAGATTCTAATCCGGGATTTTGAGCAGTTTTTATTACTGTCTGTCTTCTACATTCCCCAAGCTTTCCACAGTGAACATACATCACTCTGGTAAGCCAAAGAGGGAAGACAGAGAAGAGTGTGGGGAAAGGGAGGCAGGAAAGAGCGCCTGTCACTGTAAAAGGCTGCCGGCTGCCAAGGCAGACCAGAGCCTAGACGGAGGTTCTCTGAGGTCTGCTCTGTCAGAGCCTCTCCTCCTGCTGAGGAGTCAATGCCCGGACTCTGGGCAGCACTCTCACTGCTCCCAAGCAGAATGCGGGAAAGTCAAGTTGCTACAGGCGGTTACACAGGATTTTATGTGAAAAGCCACAAAGTGGGGGCTGGCTCAGAGGAGAGATGTCTTACTAGTTAAAAGCAGTTGTTGCTCTTCTAGAAGACCAGAGCTCAGTTTCTGGCACCCACACTGGGTGGCTCACAACTACCTGTGATTCCAGCACCTGAGGATCCAATGCCCTCATCTGACTTCCACAGGCCCCTGACTCCACCCCCCCCCAAACACAAAATGAAACAAAACTTTAAAAGAAAAATCCCACAAACAGCAAGTTCCTAACAAATGCATCCCCCCCCCCCCAGAATCTCAACACTGAAAGGATCCTGCCCCAAGGCCGCCCTTCCCGAGTGTTCAGATGCAGCAGTTGAAGCACAGCATGGAGTACCTGTGAGGGGGGGGGGGTGTCTTCCCTAGCTCAGTCCAGAGTGAAGACAGTTCCCAAATGCTTGACTTTACCCATCACATCACCAGGATCCTTGCTAAAGTCACCCAGGATGTCTATTGGAAATCAGTACCTTCCAGACACCATTTTCTAGGGACTCACCCTCAGGCACCCTTTTGGGTGGTCACATGCGGCTCACCCTCTATCGGGAAGGGCAGCTTTAGAGCCAAGTGTGCTTCACCCTTCCTTACAGCCCTATACAGAAAATCTCATTAGACTGGGGGATACACAATTTGTCAACCAATTTATTTACCTTTTCCTAGCTTTGTGTTACTCGTAATTTAATAAGTATGTTCTAGGGTCAAAATTCATGATTAAAAACAGCAAACATCGGTTTCCAGGCTCAAAAGAGTCAGTCTAGGGTGCATTATCACACAACATGCAAGCTTCCTTAGACCAAGAGGACTATCTGGACCATAATACAGAGAGACCCTGAACGTGCACATGGGAAAAGGCCACATCCCAGGGTGAGCAGACAGCATAACCACATTTCGCACAGACACGAGGACAAGAAACAAAGTGACTGCTCGGGCCAAAGGGCAGCTCCCGCTGACGTGGAGAAGGCGCTCACTGCACAGCTGAAGCAGCACATTCACATACACCTGTTTCTACTACAGCAGCCACAGAAGAGGCTGGATATTCCCTGGTGCCACCCAGTGACAGAAGGCAAGGCCACTGGCAAGCTGGCTATCTGTGACCCCAGAACCCTAGAGACTTAGGCCAGGCTCCCAACAGCTTCCTGAACAAGAACCCCACCAGGTCATCCTCTGGCTGAGTCAGATAACACAGACACAACTCACTTGTGGCAGCAGCAGTGAAGCAAGCACCACTGTTCTGTAACTAAAAATAAAGGGGGGGGCTATAAAGAGGGTCCACGTTCCCTCTAGAAAAATAAAGCCACCCTCCCAACAGCCCATTTATATTCAAGTTTCCAATAGGCTTTCAATTTCAGTCAATCCTAAATATGGAGATGCCCCACTCATCCAGAAGCCTATGTATAGCACAAAGACACGCACGCAATGGTGTGGGCGCCAGGCTCTTAGCTCTTCTGGGCTGCGCAGAGAATGGCATTCCCATAGGGCATGCTGCCAGCCAGCATCACCAACTCCACCACCCAGCCACTGTGATAGATGCATAGAAAATGTCCATGCCATCAGACACCAGTGCAGGCTTAGAGAGTGAACAACCAAGCATCCAACACTAGTGCTCTGAGTTCTGTTCATATTTATACTGACAACACTACACAGTACCCACTACCCAAGCCACAGCAAGCTTAGCAAACTAAATTCTACTAGAATTCTGAGTTCAAGGTCACAGGGCCCAGCACAGAACAGAAACACTCCCTGCTCCCATGATAGTCCCAGGATGACCTATGGCACTATATGCAGCATGTCCTCTCTTTCTCAGAGCCTTCACCACTCGTGCAGACACCTTGCCCTTCTTAGCTGTCAGTCCCAAGAAAACCAGTCAGGTCAGAAGCCAACCGCTAACACACCAGATCACCCTCTTAGCTTTCCGTAAGTCAGCCACACTTTACACATGGCCCTTGCTCCTTCCGAGTACTCACTGGTGTCACGCCCACCCTTGACCAGCAAGGAAAATGCAACACTCGGAGCTCTTCTTGCAGCAGTTTTCAGGACTTTATTCACAGCAATCTATCTCCTTCTCCTTCTCTTTCTCTTTCTCTCTCTCCCTGGGCAAACCTCTCCCAGCCCTTAAGTAGGCATGGGCCGCCAACCCCGGATTGCCAGGTGGGCACTGCCCATAAGTCCACGCATATGCAAGCAGCTGATGATCATTGCGTGATAACAGCATAGGTCAGGCCTTAGCCATCTCAGGAGTTGATTATACATCTCCATCAGGTGTGACTCCACGCAGCTCGCTACACACTGGCATAGCACAGGTGCACAGCTGACTCATAATTCTGGTTTACTGCTTTATTAGAGAGGGAAGAACCCTCACACTGTGGCATGCATAGCCCTGGCAATAGGGCTAGGAAGCACCCAAAGAAGATGCAATCACTAAGTCTGCTGGCAACTGGCCATTCTGCCAGGCTCGTCTCTGCAGTAATTCTCATCCAGAGACAGAAAGACACACAGCAGAGGCTCCCAGCAGAGAAGCAGGCACCAGCACTGCAAGCCTGGCTTCCGAGAACCATGAAGGTTCCTCTCTCCTCTGACCAGCTCTGCTATTTCTCCATCATCTGAAACAGGGCCATCACCTGCTCTTATCATGAGCGATCTCCATCAGCATCAGCGCTGGCTGCAGTAGCCCTGAACCCACACTGGAGGAAATGCATGGAGACGGTGACTCAGGCCTGACACACTGCTCACTGCTCACCATCCTAAACGCCTCCACTGAAGCCCTCACCCCACCACACAGGAAAGCACCCTGCTTGCTTCACCCATAACTCAATCCCAATCAGAAACACAAGCTAAGGCCAGGGCTCAGGCTCCCACCCAGATCTTACCGAATCTGTTCCCAGGTCTTGGTGGCCAAGTGCAGGACCCAGAGGTCCTTGTAATGGTAGAACTGCTCGCCATCAGGAGATGCAAACTCCCCACCAAAGACCCACAGCTGTCCACCACTCTGGGGCACCACCACAGCCTGTTAAAGGAAAGCAAACAGATTAGGTGAGCCATGAGACAGCACAGCTGGCCCCAGCATGACAAACAGCATCAGCACCATCCACCTAGAGTCTCAGGGACTCCCTCAGCCATTGTCTCCTAGAACAAACTTCCCGAGGTGTATTAATTATATTCAAGGATCTAACATCCGTGTTTCCCTAGATTGCAAGACAGACACCTATTTACATTCAGACAACGTACTGTCGTATTAAATGAGCAGTTACTGCAACTTCACATAGGTTATCAAGGAACAAATACCATTTCTGTTTATTAAATAACAAGAAAGCGCTTCAGTGCTGTTTATTTTAGTTATGTGTATGTGAGGTATATGCACGTGAGAATATGAGGTGTAAACATGAGAGTCATATGTATCTGTGCATACATAAAGCATATGTACTTGTGTTGAATATTCACAGGGGTGTATGGTGTACGCACATGTACATGTGAGACATATACATGTGTGGATGAGGTATGTGGACATGTATGTGAGGCATATACACATTATGTGAGGTGTGTGACATGTGTATGAGGCATATGCACATGTGTATGTATAAGGCATATGCACATGGTGGATGTGAGGTATATTTACATGAACATGTGTATGTGTGTAAGGTATATGCATAGCATGAATGGGAGGTATGTGGACACATACGAGTTCTATGCAACTGTAAGGTATATGTGTAGGCACACGTATATGAGTGTGCAGGATATATACACAGGTGTATGAGTGTATGAGGTGTACATGCACTGTGGGGGGCTGCACTTGCCTGTGTGTGGGTGCAGAGGTAGGAGGAGGATGCCGAGTTATCCTGTCTATCGCTCACTTTATTCTTAGACAGGGTCTTTCACTGCACTTAGAGCTGGGCTTGTGTAGCAAGCTCCAGTGATCCTGCCACCTCGGCCACTGACAACACCAGGGTTACAGGCATGTGCCACCACGTCCATATTTTTACATGGATACTGGGACCCTAACTCCAGTCTTCATGTTTGTGCAACAAGAGAGCACTCTTATCCTCAGAGCCTGGAGACTCAGGGTGCACAGCCCCAGGGACTGGGGTAACATCTGTTGCTGCAAACTAGTCAAACACCCTGCTACAACTGATTCCTACAGCAGCCTCCCGGCTCAGAACAACCTCCTGGAATAAAAGCACAGGCTAAGGCTACTGTGCATCTCAGGACAATCCCGACCACTCTCTCAAGAGACTACGAGTCCTCCCTCCCGTGTAACTGAAAGACCTCAGGCAGCTTCACCTGTACCCTCACTACTGCACTTGGCTGAAAATGAACCAACAACAACAACAAAACCTCGAAAATGCATACACTGCATGTTCCCAAAAACCATATGAACTGGCAGCAATCACCTTTCCCACTAGCCCAAACAGAAGCCAAGCTGCTCCACACATACACAGAAGGTGCGGAGCAAGGACAGACGGGACAGTCCTACCAACCTGCCCCAGGCTATTTGGGTTCACTTGTAACTGCACTGAAACACAGGGAAAAAACATTAAGCATCAAAAACAAAAACAAAAAAAAACAAAACTTAAGATCAGTGGCACAGTCAACATGTATAAGATTCTGTACCCATTTCATCCCATCACCACCAAAACCCAACATAATACAGGTTTCTGACCTCAGCCTCACTCTTCTGTCGAGGGAGTCCAAGAGCTACCCAAGCCAGACACCCTCAGGACCAAACAAGGTACAAAACAGGGAACACCTTGGGAAGGTCAAATATTCTCACTGCTGCATCCCAGCACCCAGAGGGTACCCAGCAGACAAAGGGGCTCTAACCAGGACCCAGCTGCCAGCAAGGTGGTACTTTCACAGGCAATCACAATATATACTAATCTTTCCACCCATAGCTCACTGCCACACTGCACCAATGAAAACAGCTTTTGCTGGGGGGGGGGGGGGGG